ATGTTATTGCTGATGTGACCTTGGAAGAGATCGGAAGAAATAAATTGACCCAAGAATGAAGCAGTCCTTAAAATGTATTATTTTGACGATAATATATTCATTATTGAAGTATATGAATAGACAATTATGCAAATGACAGATATAATGAGAATATTTGAATTTTATAGCGAGCCAAAGCCATAGTTGCATGGTTAGTTCTGAAAGGTCAATCAATCTAATGACCATCATCAATGTTGCGTACATTAATGGTCATCACCATCGTGATCTTTTGCAGATGATCTGTTTGCCATCTATTAGCAAATTCAGTTATATTAATTTCAAAATTTTTATTGTTATATTAAATTTAGGAATGGTTAATTTTCGGCCCATTATGGTAATGATATATATTATGCTAAAATTCCAACATTTCTTGATTCTGAATCTTTTTCTAAATAGTTTTTTCTTTTTTAAATCAATGTTATCAATAGATTCTATGAAATAATTAGAATTAAAAATTATTTTGCTAATTAATTTAAGTAGGAAAATAACAGAACTATGATTTTAACGACAGTGTTGGGAATTCAAAAGCTAACAAAATTAGAAAAGCATAAAATTTTCCTACTTAAAATTAATTTAAAAGAAAAATTAAAAACAATGATCGAACAAACAGATATTTATTCCATCTGATACGAAATTATGTTTTCATTAAATTATATTTCAATTCATTTTCAATTCTCTTCGACTTTTCAGATTTCTTTACTTTGTCAAATTTTCATCCTAAAAACCTCTTATATTTCTTTATTTGCAGATCTCGTTGGTATTAATTCAAGTGTGATTCTGAATTCCGTTCTATTTCTAATTTTTGCTTTCAAATTTATTAATTTGAATTCAAATTTATAACAACGAGAAAATTAAAAATGTTTTACAATAGGAGAATTTATTTGATGCTTACAATATTAGCATGCTATGCAGTGTTAGTTAAAGGAAATAAGTTGGCACAAGTTATTGAATGGTATGCTAAATTTGTTCCAATTGAAAAACCATGCACTGATATACGGAGACAAAAGATAGCAGTGGGACGAAATCCTGTACGATATGTGAGTGTTGATGATTATGGCGCACATAAAAGTAAGTTAAATTAACTTTAATTATCTTAAGTTAACTTTAATTATCTTAATAATTGAAATTGAAATTTAAAGAAAATTTAGCTCGAAGAATTGAAAAATCAAAATTAAGCACAAATGATTTAATTGATATTAGACATTTTAGTAATATCGAGAAAACATTACTTTAAGAGATTGAAATGAATGATATTTGATAATTCAAAAATTAAACATTCTAAATCAAAATCGAGGGAACTTTTTTAAACTTTTGGAAAATAATTTAAAAGTAGACTCAAAGAAATCGCATCATAAAATTTTAATTATAATTTACCAATTAATTATCTCTAATTTTTAATTTCTTTACTTACAGAATGTGATAATGATGACGAATGCCTTCCAAATATTAAATGCAATGAAGGATGTTGTTTATGAAAATAATTTCAAATTTTTTCATAATTTATTTAATTTTACTAAAACTTTCTACTATTTAATAAAATTTTCACATTGTTTACAGTTTAAATTAAATTTAATTTCATAAACTAATAATTATTTGACATTTAAAACAAACGAAAATTGAATAAATTTAATTTAAATTAATTATATCATTTCTACATTTTACTACATTTTACTATTCACTGATGAAATTTCGAAGTTGTTGTATGAATATGATTAATGCTGTAATTTGTAATTAATTCCTTTACTCCCATTTTAATATTCATTTTGGTACGGGAGGATTTTATAAAATTTAGAAGATAGCTAGAAGATAGATTGTTAATTTAACTTTTGGAATAAGAGAGCTACATTATGCGAATCATTGTTGTGAAATTACTTACATTAGCGATATACACCATTTAAAAATATTATATATGATTATGATAATACGAATATTATCACATATTTAATGTTACGATGAAATTTTACGATAGTGGTAATTTGCTTGAAATTATGCAAGAAGTTAAAAAGTGCTATAAATCTTTTTAGCTAACAATCAAATTTCAATTTCGAAACTTTTTTATTTGAACCGAACTTGCGCATTCAAATTTGAAGAGTGAAACAAACTTAGAAATAGTTGATTCATAATTTATGATGAATTTTCATCATCAAAGTTCTCTGCGCAATTTTTTTCATTACGAAGGTAAAAAACTTTTGTGTATAATTTTTTAGAAGCAGAAACTATGCAATTTTTAATATCAATAAATTTGGAAGTTTTAAATTACAATCTTTCAGCACATTTCAGTTGTCATAAACAACTTCAATATGATATTAGCTTTTGGGAGAAAAAATTATTGATATAACTTATTTGATTGGAATATTAAAATTGAAAAAATTGTCTGATAGATTAAATTTGCAAATAAAATTGGAAATATTCCAATTTTGTTTAGAAATTTAAAATATTTTAATTTTGTATTTACATTTGTAATATTATACTACAAATAAATTGCATAACAGAGAATTTATAGCACTTTTTTGCTTCTTACCATATTTAAGGATACTCTATACTTTCATCTTTATTCCCATAACATAATATTCATATTATCATAATTATATATAATATTTCGAAAAGCTGTATATTGTTAATGTAAGCAGTTTTACAACAATGATTCAGAATATTTAATTTCTTGCATAATTTCAAGCAAAGTTATCATTATCCTAAAATTTCATCTTAGCATTAAATATGCGATAATATTCGTATTATCACAATTATATATAATATTTCTTAAAAGTGTATATTATTAATGTAAGCAAGTTTTAAAACAATGATTCGAAATAATGTAACTCTCTTCTACCAATTGCTATCCTTAAATTTAATTTACAGCAACAGTTCAATGAAAAGTTCTCTTTTTTAGCTATCATTTAAAATCACGTTAATCACCTTCCTTTAAAGTTAAACTGATCAGTTTCATTTTCCCTCTTAGCAACTCCCTTAATATTAATATCATTTAAATCATATTTACATGATTCCATAATAGGCAGTTATTTAATCAGCTGATACATTGTATAGTAATTTATGTAAACGAAATTTCATATAATTATCGTTATTCATCAATGATTACTCATCAATGTTTAATATTGCGTTGTTCATCAATGATTAATATGACATTGTTTATCAATGATTAATGTCATGCTGTTTATTAATGATTAATATTACGTCATTTATTGATGAATAATATTACGTCATTTATTAATGATTAATATTACATTGTTTATCAGGTGATTAATATTACGTTGTTTATTATCAATGTTACTCACATTACTCATATATAGTGACGCATTACGCATTAATCATACAGAAAGAGACAGCTATTTATCAATGATTAATATTACTATGTTATTCAACAATGATTTCAAATAACAACATTTCTAGAAAAAGCAAAATTTCAATAAAATTATAGTTGTTTATCTTTCTATGAGTAATCATACACACCTCTTATAAAATTCATTGCTATCAATTATTAAATTTAAAGTCATCGATAAGAAGTAATTATCAAATTGTATTTTCCATAAAGAAAATTTAAAAATTCTTATTTATACATGCATGGTTGTAATTCGATAACATTACTTTTAAATTGAAATATTTTTCATTTTCTTATTTATTAATATTGCATATTCGTAATTTCAATTTTAGTTGTTTACGTTTATTTAATGAAATTATTGGGAAATAACACATTTTAAAGCAATCTGATTCATTGAGACAACTCGATTGTATTGATATTGTAATAAATTTTCTTCCTATTATCACTGATAACAACAACAACAATCAGTTGACGCATCATTACTCATTCATTACTCATATTATTCATATATGATGACGCATTATACAGAAAGAGACAATTTCAATATTTCCTATCAAAATTTTAATTATTTGATTTAAACAATTTAAGTTTGTTATTTTATATCTCTCTAACTAAAAGTAATAATTAAAGTTGTCAATTGAGACTAAAAGTAATAATTAAAAACTAAATGTAATAATTAAAGTTGTCAAACGACACTTAACGACATTTAACGACTTAATTCAATTTAAGCTTGTTATTTTATATCTCTCTAAAATTAATAAAGATTGTGCAATTTCTATGGTATTTCAATAGTACTACCAGTTACGCATCATTCCGCTATCGTTGTAATTTTAAAATCATATCACAATAGAGATAAAAGTAACAAGCAACATCTAAATCAAACTAATCTTACTAAAGTATTGTCTACCTTAAAAAATCCTGATTCTGATTTCTTCATTCTGAATCTTAGATTCCGATCCCTTCAAAGATTTTTCATTTGTGTCACTTAAAGAATTTCAATCAATATGCTTATACAACAATAGGTATACACATTTTGACGGATCGTTCCTCGATTACTTAACTACTAGAAGAATATTTCCTTAGATTATCATCGATTTTATTTCAATTCTTTTTTTTCATTTCATCTCTTTATCTTTTCATCTTTATTTTCCTTACGTAAAATGAAGAAAAAAAATGTTGAAATTATAAAAATAAATAATTTCATAGAGATATATCATTGAGTAAACAAAAGTGCATGTGTGTGCATATGTCACCTTTATGATTAATTGTTTATGTTTACCTGAAGAGAAACAGAGATTCTGTATAAATATGTTTACATAGTAAAGTTCAAAATGAAAAACATCAGAGGGAGAGGGAGAGAGAGAGAGAAAAAAAGAGAACTTTTTGTTTTTTCAAAAGAATAGAAGTACACTGATAAGCAATTGTCACTTCTTTAACAAATTATTCTTTATTCTCTTTTTCTCAGTGAAGAAAACAGTTGAAACAGGTTAATCACAGGTATGACATATTTTCCTATGACGTATTTCATTTTTCTCAGAACACGTATCAATTAGATATACTGAAATTGAAATCCCTACACGAAAATAGAAATATATTTTACAAACAAAAAACAATCGATAGTACTTCAAATAAACTCATATGGATCTCGATTTTTCTTCTTCTCAGAATGGATACGTTTTGCATATAATCTTCGCTGTGCTGCTCTTCTCATTCTAAAACATGTAATTAATTGCTTGTTGAAAATTAATTATTTTTTGCCAGCTGTCAATTATTCAATTAATTTTAAAGAAATAAAATTAATAGGATTCATATGAATAGAGAAATTAAATTGCAGCAAAAATAATTACTAAATTTCTATTATCTTCCTTTTGTTCTTCCAATTAAAGAGCAACAACTAATATAAAGAAAATAGGAAAATTAAGGATTTAATTGTATCAAAAATTCAAGAGATAAAGATCACTTGGAGATCTTATTCCACACAATACTGTGACAATGTTTCATTTAAATTGTTTCATGAAAATAATAAAATCATGAAAATTAAGATTTACAGATTGGCTTAAAGTGATTTGAAATAGAATTTAAACGATAGAGAATGTCGTTGGAGAGTATACCTATTATCCATAACTGCTTTATCCTGATCTGTAGGTGGTCTATTATCCAATAGCTCTTTGTTGCATTCTAGTAACATAGCGTGCAACTTTTTAAAACAATCTTCTTGATTCTCTGCCTGAAAAAGCTGGTATGAATAGTTTGATGAAAATTTGCAGAAATTTTAGCACAAGTGATGTGAATGATTAATGATACTTAGAAACTGAACTGACTATGGTCTAAAAACCAGTAAGACATATATAGTAAGACATATGTATTAAGTATTGAAGATTTTCTTCATTTAACGATTTCTCTTTCTTGCCACATGTTAACAACTCATATCGATGATATTTAAAATTTATCAGCAGGCATATTCTTATAATAAGCATCAGATCTGAGATAACAGAACGATTACATTACCTGAATTCTTGATTTATCTGATGAAATTACAACATCATGTTGTTTATTGAGCAATCGAACAAAACGTTTCCGGAATATTTCTTGAATTTTCGGGCTCAACCAGTCCGCTTCATTTAAATTAAATCGTATTTGACATTTTGTATTCACTGAAAATAATCACTACATGTCATTAATGTTGTAATTAAAGTTAAAGCGAAAGTATTCTAAAAAAGAAAATAAAAGTAATTCAAGTGATAAGAGACTTTAATCAGGTATACATGAGTGAATAAATAATGTTTTCATTAGGCAATTAATAATTACCTTCTTTGTAAAACATCTCTAAATTAAGTTTTGCAACAATATTTTCAATAATTTGCTGGACAAATTCTTTCATACCACATAAGCTAATTTATCATATTTTATTAAACATGATATCATCAAGTACTTACTTGCATTTTTGATAACATTCTGAACACTTATTTATTTAGTTAAGATGATTTTTTTTAAGATGACTTCGTTAAGATGATTTTTTAAGAGGCCTAAAACATACTGATGCTTAGAAATTATGAGTGAGAGTCAATCCTTCATGCTATTTGAAGAGATTAAACTGTTTCAAATTATTTACAATGTCGTTCTGAAAAGAACTTCAGCAGACGATCTAACTGTGAATGGCATTTAAAATCTTAATTAGCATATAGTAGAAGGTTAAAATTTAGCACACTCATACTTCCATATGTATATATATAATTTCGCAAACATATGTCGAAACATCTGAATTACTGTTGAGTGGTTTAAAATGTTTCTAAGAATCCTACGAATCTGTGTCTATATATCGAAGAACCTGAATTACTGTTGATTGATTTAAAATGTTTCTACGAATCCTCACTAAGTACCTCGATTTTGATCACGATGTGATAAACAAAAAAACCTATCACTTCTCAAAGATTCATCTAAATAAGTTATAAACAAGATACAGAGAGGTAAAGGAAACATAAAAATACCTAAGAGATGTAATTGATTATCTAATAAATGTTTTGATTCCTTGCCTTCATAGTTTACAAATTGAAATCATAAACAAAATTCTTCCCACTATAAAACATTTCAGAAAAAATAAAATATACTGAAATCTCTTGTTCCTAAAATAGAAAATTAAGAAATTACGAATCAGAAAACAAAAAAGAACCATAAAAAATTATCTTACTACTTCCACATCAATCAAATAATATAGAATAATAGGTAGTGAAATACATACCCATATTAACATTCTGACCGCCAGGACCACTACTTCGCATAAATCGTTTCTCAATTTTATCTGTAAAAAATTTTCAACATCGGAATTTTTCTTTTACAATTAATCAATCATGGAAATAATCAAATTTAAGCTAATCTTTTCAATGTTTAATTAAAAGAAAGTAAATTTAGAACTAAATTAATCATAGCAAATATTATCTTCATAAATTATTTTCGAGAATAGATGATAATTAATTCAATTAATTAAATGATAAGAAAATCAATTAGATTGTTTAATGAAGTTTGATGAAATATTTTGAAATATTTGTTTACTCTTTAAATTAACAGATCCTTTGGCTATTTTTTTTTAAAGTAAAAGCTTCCAAATATATTATTTCTAATCAAATTCATAGCTAACTTTCATAGGTAATCCATAAGTTTGACAATGAGTCATTCATATCTGAGTAAACAATTGTAATTATCAACAAATCAATTAAGATATTGCTTGTTATTTTTTCCGCCTTTTTTTTAAAATTATTTCTTTCTTTTCCCACATAATTCCATTTCGACTTTCTTCACTCACATAATATAGTATAGGTAATTAGTCTTCACTCACATAATATAGGTGTAATTAGTCGAAGAAAATTTTCAACGGTAATAATCCAATATCGAATAATGCCAAATAAATGTCACAATGAAATTTTCAAAGGTAATCCGATATTATTAAATAATGACAAAATAAATATCATAAATGATATTTCGAAACGTGATTCAATATTATCAAATGATGTCAAATAAATGACGTATAATGACGTGATCAAAATGAAGTGTGTATTTTACATGTGATATTTTTCACTATCGTTTACATTACAGAAAGATCAAAAATCATCAGATGATACTAGAGTAAAGAAAAACATACCAACCGGAATACATCCAATAAATTCGCTATCATTGTCGTCTTTCTAAAAATAACATTCTGGAATGATAAAACGAAATACTTTAATCGAAGTGATATTCATTTACGTTATACAAGTTACTTCAAATAATATTTACTTGAAAATGTTATGGGGAAAATGAAACAAATTTTCATAGATGAAAAAATGGGAAATGTTAAAAAATTGAAAATCAATTACAAACTGGAATATACATGAGTAAAGTGACGATGCTGTTGTTGTTGTTGTTGTTGTTGTTTACGTTTTAGCAATAATTGCTTGTTGAAATATTGTCTGATACGATACATCAAATACGATACAGCATTTTCGCTTTGTCTTTTGTATCCAGAAAGTTAATTTGATATGCTGAAAATTGAATAAAATCAACACAATTGATACAGAAATAAAATATTAAACAATTTTTTGCAACATATATTGAAATTTTACTAAATTTTACGCTATCTTTATCCTTATCTTTTTAATCATATTTTATCTGTAACAAAATTTCAAATCAAAAATATCGGAATGTTTCATTTCAAATCATTTCTTTAATTTCTGTATGCTTCTGTTTGATGATATAACGCATAAGGTGATGATGATGAATATTTCACATTTCGTATTCTTAAGATTAAACTTAATGAAAGTTTAAATTATGATGTAAAGTGTAAGAGAGATTTAATAAAATGAAAGTAGTGAAAAAGAGATTTGACTAAGATCAATAATTATTGTATACTAATTATAATCTACGAATTCTATGTGACATGAAAGCCACTTTTTTTGCATCAAATGAATGACTAAGCAATTCCTTCAAATTTAATCGAAAGTTTGAAAATACATCCGAAAAAAAACAGGCTTAATTATTTGGTTCAGAGAGAAACGAAACCACTCATTAATTATAAAGACAAGAGAAACACACTTTTAGTTACAGTTATATTAAAAATAAAAGTCCCTCTGAATCATTATTATCGCGGACAACTTGTCGATGATCTACATGTGCCCAATACATTCAACCGAAAACGGGGAAAAAGAACCACATTTCATCATTTAACAGTGTCACGATATCAATGTATCCGTGTTGGATATTTGATATGATCATTGGTGACACAAACTCATATTGGCAGGTGAAACCCATAGGAAGACTGCGGATTCACAATATCGATCATTTGCGTACTAAGTATTATGTTTAATAAGAAATACACATACTTCAGAGAAAGATTCTCGATGTTCGAAAATTAACAGCTGAATAAATGCATCCAATAATAATTTCCAATGAGGAAATTTTAAGCTTTCATTTACATTTAAATTAAGCTATAAATGAACTTCTGATCTCGTTGCAAACATGATAACTTATCATTTAGTCAAAATTTTATCATCTTTTTAAGGAGATTTTTCATAAACAAAATAATTAGTCATATCGTCTTTTTCATTTCATGTAAAAGCAAATAAGAACTATGGAATAAAGTAATTCACTCTTCAAACTGATACAATGAATATATATTGGCGTTACACATCAACATATTTAGAAACAAACATACCCGCATTTGCAAATTAAAGGTAAAAAAAATAATTTAAATGGAAGACAAAAGTATTTCAAAAATTCCAAATGATAAATTAAAATTCCAAACATACTACTACAAACATACGACATATTGAATTATTACTCAAAAACATCGTTTTAAAAATGATACACGTTTTTTTGCCTATAAGATCCATAAATATACAGTAATTACACTACTTTTCAAGAACTAACTAATTGGCCAACAAACATCTGTTGAAGTCACATTCGGTTAACTTTTAAATTAAACCACTTTTTCATAATTTTATTTTTGATTCGAAAAAATTTATTCCTTCAGTAGAAATCATACTATTTTGTATTCACGTACGTTCTCAACCCAAAATTTCTTCAAAACGCGAAGAACTTTTAGAAATTCCTAATTTGAAACTTTTCTCTTGACCGAAAATCAAAATTCCTAATATTATATACATTGAAAAAGAAAGGAGGAAAAATCAAATCAAATGTATTTCTTTGATTGTAAACCAAATTCTTAAATTCTCTTAATCGAAATTAAATCATCGAAGTTCACATGCTCAAAAAAGCTGTCTTCTGATATGGTTAAAAAATGTCTCGTTCATTTTTTCGAACTTTTCGCAAAAATTAGATCACTGATCCGATATGGTAAAATATACCAAATATACAACACCACCATAAGGATGTGTACTAATAAGGATGATCTTGTATTCAACAAATCAAGACCCTCTATGTTGATGCATTTGAGGATCTTCCTCATAGCTCAACATAGTATCATCCGTTATCGTCAACTTGATCAATCTCGAAAATACATATCTGACTTAATGTTTCTAATTTGATATGTGATAAAAAAAAGGTGCACCCATATTTTTTGGAAAAAAAAAGTACAAAAGTGCATGACATCAAAAAATTGAACTGAAAAAAACCAGGCAGAATTACAATTCCACAATTTCTATTCGAATGAACAGAGACCATGTTAACATATCAATGATCAAAAGGCTGAGTGGAAAAAAGACTGGCGTGAATTGTCGTTAAAAGCACAACAGGTAACTGACTTAACTATATAAAAAATGAAATCATGTTTCTTGCTTATCATTAAAAATTAGTAATGAAAAACAAAATCTAATTTGAAATGGTCAGCTACTTGAATCGATGAGAAGATGCAGCTCAACAACTATCACTACAACATGAAATTTTATATCGTGAATCTATCATGAAAGATCATGAAAGAAATTATGTCCCAGTGGAATAATCAATGAAAGAAATCGATTCAGCCATGATATAACAAAAAGTAGAATAGAAGAAACTAGAAGAATTATGAAAACTTTAATGCAAGTTCGACTATAATCATTGATTAATGGATATGAGAAGTTGTGATCATTCTCATTTAGTAACGATCTAAAGCCATCAGATAACGATAGCTTTCTTCTTCATCACGCAGCACAGGTTCTGCCAAGAAGCCACGTCCAAAGATATTATTCATTACACTATTAGTCTGAAATATATTGAATAGGTAGAGGTACATTTAGCAAATTTTTTGCATTAATCAATAAAATCATTAGTAACAACATGAATAGTAGTTATTAAAAATTTTTTGCGCATTATATATCTTTATCGTGTGTGTCTTCAGTTTTGTATTCTTTCAGTGTTGAAATTCCTGAATCAGTTGTTTCAAAATTTCGAAATTACTATAGGTCCCTCAGATAATAATTTAAATAAGAAGATAATGCAAAAAAAAAGCAACGTACGTTAAGGAATTTGAAGAAGTTATTGGAGTTTGAAACTTCAGATGTCCCATGTGCTTGAACATCAACAAGCGGTGATGTATTTGGGATATTATTTCCAATACCTAAATTACTTATTTCAGGAAGCATCACATATTGTGCTGATTCTGTTTTTCTATTTGACATTTTCTCTGAAAAATACTTGCAATTAAATATCCAAAATCTTAGTTGATTTTAGCGCGATACTAATATGATGCGTAAGATTAAACAAAAATACTTGAATGATTACGAATAAAACAGGAGGGAGTGATAATCTACTTAATTCTAACACCGTATCATAACATTAGATTACTACATATTAAATTATATCTGTGTTGAGACATATTTCAACATATCTTAACGAATACTCTTTCCTAAATTTTTGATAGATCAAAATTTACAAATTATCCTTTTTCAATGAAAAAGGATGAATAAATAATGTTAACATGAAGAGGTGTAAAAAAGATAACGATTTCAGGAATAACTGAAATTGATATCAGTGAAAATATGCTATTAACATAACTCTTCTACTCTTTCATATATTTTTTCATCTTTCTCGATGAATTAAAAGGCAATAATATTCATACAAATAACACACTACGTTATACCTAATTCTCATTTCAATATATTAAGTAAGTAAAACGGAATAGAAAAATACATATATCTTTTTCTATTGTGATATCTATCATTTCACACTTATACTTTCACACGTTACGTACGTGTTACTACTCTTAATTATATAATACTTCTAGTTATATATCGAAGAAAACTATTGGAGCGTGACGACATACGCATTAAATTCCTACACATGTAAACAAAAAAAAATGATAAAAGCAGAAGCGTAATGATCCGATCGCCAACAAGATGAACACGCGTCTACTCTTCTCTGCCATAGCAATTCTAATCTTCTTTTCCTCACTTCCTGTTTATTGACAACCATGACCTGTTTCTAGGATGACTAAATCCCTTACCAATCAATAATTTAGTATACATTAGCAAAGAGCGACTAAATGGCAGCGCACAGCAGTTGCTAGGGGTTTTATAAATTTCGTTGAATTGCGAAACCCCTCCCCTTGTGCTACGTTAGTTATTACCTCTCACTTTCTCTCTGTACTCAATCGTTAATCATATATCTAACAAAGAGGGAAACATTCTTTCTCTTTTCTCTCTGAATCATAAGAGAAAAACAGAAACATGAACACTATTGCGTAAACGATATATCAGAAATCAGATATCGTTTCGTTTGATTTATGACAAGAGCGCCACCGATATAGAATTTACCATAATAAAATAGAAAAGGAAAGATTACATGTATCACAACTATAAAGGAATTCTGGAATGAAACAATTAGTTGCACAGCCATTTTCACGTAGTGTAATTTACAGTTTTGATGTTGACGTTAATAGAGAATATTGTTTACTATAATGAACGATCACAATTTTTAATATATTGTGTAAATTGTCATACTGCTTTAACTGTAGTTAAGAATAGATGGAAGTAAATAATCAGTTAGAAGTCGAGAAAGATAATCTAGTAGAAGGAGAGGATTCTAAATTATAATTAGCAATCATACATATCGATAAGTTTAAATGATTAAAACATTACAACACTTTATGTTATATGATATCAATAATCAAGAAGGAAAAATAGGGCAAGTATAGATAAATATTATTTATTCTTAAAGAAGAATGCTTCACGTGAATAATTCGTGTGCATATTATTATCTCAACATCTGGTTAATTGATGTTGTGTTAAAGTATAACAGTTGTGACAGAAAAAGTTTAGACGTACACGTGAATTAATTACGTGTTTCGTGTGATTGGATATCATCCAATTTCGTATATACTCATCCATTTATTCATCAAATATTGAATATGTAATTTCTTTTTTAAATGAAAAAAATTTTCGAACTTTACAACCATTCCAACCTAAAATATATGATAAGGGAAAGAAGAGATATGATGGAGAAAAGAAAGCATTATAAAGAATGGCTATGAGCAAGAAAAAGAATCGATAATTTTAAAACATTTAGAACTTATCAGAATTAGAACTTAAAAACTTATAAGAATTAGAACAACTGGAATTTAATAAGCAATCTTATAAGCAAGTATTTATTACGCTTTCCCTTTCATCATTTTTGTTTATTTGAACTCTCTCTCTCTCTCTCTCTCTCTCTCTCCCTCTCTCTTTCATTGAATAATTGAATATTTGGTATAAAGGAAAGGAGTCCTAAAAGTTCAATGTTTATAATGATGAAAAACAAAAAGCAGAAATGCTTTCTCTTAACTGTAAATAACATTACAATGATGACGACGAAAATTGTTGGTATTACGAAATAATTTGGAATAAATATATCGAAATAAATAAAAATAATTTATGTCGTGAAAAATATTTCTCATTCAATCGATTGCATAAATTTTAATTATTGTTACAGTGTTTTAATGTAATGAATTATTTAGCTAATTTCTCATTCTTCTTTTTGAGTTATCATACCTATCTTTAATGATTAAATTACCGAAAATCAATTCACATGTAAAATGTCTCATTCTCCTTTTTGAATTATTATACTTATCTTTAATGGTTAAATTATCGGAAATCAATTCACATGTAAATGTCTCATTCTTTTTATTGAATTACTATACTTATCTTTAATGGTTAAATTATTGGAAATGTTTCCGATCTGATAACTAATAGTATTTCAATCGTTATGCTGCTATCGAATCTTCCTTTTCGCAACTCTTTTTTATATTCACACATCTGTCATTATATCGAATACGATTTTACCGGAATATTTGTTGTACATTTATCCTTTAATGCAATTGACAACTACGATAATCCTGATGAAATATTCAAATTGAAAAATAAACTTAAACACTTGAAAATGGGATTTGAAAAATTGCCAAAGTTTAAGTAAGAAAATAAATTGATAAATTAGGAAACAATAAACTTTAGTAAATGAACAGATAAGTAGATCAAGGGTAAGTAAGAAGTATAAGTAAGCGAAAAACATAGCAAATCTCAAACAAACCACAATTTGCTGTCTTTATAAATAGTGAATCTAACTTGTAAATAATTTGCGAAATTTTCAACAAAAAAATTTTAAATAATTTGCTATATTTTGTTATGGGATAATATTTTAGAATTATTTTCTTTCCAAATTCGATAGTGTAGAAAATGATGGAAGATGCTGAAACTGCACCATATTGATCACTGTGACTACATTATCGGAATGAGATAATTGTCAACAACAATAAAAAAGCAAATTCTATGAAAACATGAGAATTTAAAACTAACCATTCAAGTTTGATAAAATAGTAATAACCATTGATATTGTTTTAAACATCACCGTTTTCCTGTATCCATTGATACTACTTGCATCGACAAATAACTTTACTTTCAAAATAAGAAATTCAAAATATTTCACAGGATTTTACCTGAAATTTTGGCTAAAACATCACAATTCATTAACAGGTTAATAAAATCATCTCAGACTGTGTGTCTCTCAATTATATAGTTATGCACTTCTCATAGATGCTTCACTATGATGATCTCTGGAACACATCGATTGTATAAAGAACAAAAATTAGATTCACTGATTCATTAAACTATTAGCAGAAAAATGTTATTGTTCGAAATACTATCTGGCTGTTAATATGATTATCGCATTAACAGCACATTATTATTTCCAATGAAATATTTTGTATTGTAGAAGTGTTAACAAAAAATTTATTACTATACATTCGTAAAAAATAAATTTTAATACTGAATACAACACTGAATACATTATAATATTACTGCTGAAAGCGTACATTCTATCATTCCAACATAAATACAAAAATTTAATTAATGAAAAACAATGACATTTTCTTCCAAATTTTTCAAAATTCAATCAAAAATGTTTCCAAATTCAATCAAAAATGATCCCAAGGTCTGAAAAGAATCTTCACTATACTTTTTACAGACAAAAGCAAAGTAAATTTCATTATCTAAAAAAGAATGTATGGAAAACTACGACGGCACTATTCCATCTGTCCGTTTATCATTACATTCATTCATGCATAATATGTTAATTCCACATATATTTTCTGCTGGAGATTTGTTGAAAGAAAAGAAAACGAGTTGTTGCTTTCCAATAAATTTCCAGAACGAATAGAAGAACATATAGGAAGTAAAAAAAGAGCGATAGAAACGAAAGACTGAAAATACGCAAATGAAGAAATCGGTAGCAGTGTTATTAAAGCGTTTTTTGCATTTGTTCCATAAATATATTTTCATTAAGAGGTATAAAATATAATTGTTATGCGAATAAAAGAAAAAAAAACAAATTTTCGGAACATATAAAAAGCATTGCTGTTGTTATGTTTCAGGTGTTCATCTATCAATGTAAACCAACATGTGTTCATTAACTTGAAAAGTCCCCTTACTAAAAACTTTTACTTCAAACAGTTTTTTTACGCAGAAGAAAAAGCAATATGGGTGATTTTCTCAACCGTGCATATCTATTTGTTCTTAGCAACGTCATCCATGTGAGAAAATTGAATGGAACGGCTAACAACACTATTTCACCATTATATATATATGAAGTCATTATCAAATTTTGTAAATGAAACCAAAAAAGTGAATACATAATTTCATAAATGCAACCATAAGCTGTCATAAAAAGTGAGAACCTCAATAAGCAATGAATAAAATGAAATTAAGAAGAAAAATGGATAACAAAGAATGGTTTCATACCATTCATTAAGTCTGAGTAACATTTCACAGACGAAAAAAGATCGATAGATTCTACTATTTTAATATTCTAAAACGAAAAATGACCGGTTTCTGGAAACAGTCTTTTTAGACTGATAAACAGAAAGGCTGCTCTCCTGAAATGGCTTTTGGACTTTTAAGTAAAAAAACAGATGGCTGTGATGAGCATTCGATAAGAAATACATGGCAATCGACAAATTTTTACCTAAATCATTTTAACAAATATAATGAGACGAAGCAAAATTATGTATTAAGATCACAGCCATGTACTAGCCTTAATAAGCAGTTGAGATTTTGAAAGATTTAAAGTGTTATGACTCCAAAAAGTTATCCCGAAAGATAAAAAATACGTCTACTTGCGGAAAATACTTGTTCTGGTGACACAAACAGTAGAATCATACATGTGCGAAAATTTTCAGACAAATTTAGTGGATACTTGAGACGTCTTTTGATCAAAACGTGCGGCAATATCCTTTACATTTGAAGATTTCGCAGCCAACATTGATCCACCTTTAATATGGGGTGCACTGTTATTTGCAGCCTGAAAACAGATTTCGATAAACTTATGATTAGAACAGATATTACTCAGTTTTGAAACACGTAATAATTTCGTGATAAGAAACTTCCCAAAATATTCAAACTAGAGTATGGAAGTAGCAAATAACAATATGTTGTAGCCTTGAATAAAACAGCAGAGCATATAATATCATTAAATATTTAATTTAAATTTAAATCTAATACAAAATCAAATAATATGGATTTTTTAATTGCGGGGAAAAAGTAAACATGACCACAGCTTACTGGAGAGCTAAAGCAAGCCAATCAAAAAGTAATAGTGGGTAAAAAATAATAACTATACAGACTAATCCTATGTTTAGAATGAGGGTGAAGTATGACTGTAAAAATTTAATACACCGGACGGTTTTGAAGTGAGATCGAATTTTTTTGTCCATACCACTTTTTAATGAATCTAAAATACCAATACCTGGCTATGATGAGGTGGTGGTGGTGGTGGTGACTGCATGGGCCTAAAACTTTCTGTCCTCGCCATTTTTACGGCATTAGTTTCCGGTAGAATGTGGTACATCGGTGAACTTCGCTCAGTTAGATTCATATTGAGTTCATTACCTTTTTCTGCATACAGCGCTTGTAAAGCCTCACTTCGTGGTCGTTGTGGTATCTGTAACAAATGAAACTGTAGATTAATATTATTAAAACTAAAAGTAAAGAATAAAATCTATTTTAGTAACATCTTGGAAATTTCTCCCGGCCGAAGGGACTATCCAGATACAATGAAAACCAGAATAAGTCAGCAATAATGTTGCAAAGGCAACTAAAACAATTGAAATATCCTTTAACTGTTCCATTTGCTCTCTAGAAAATTTGCCGGTAGTTATTCGAAGAATGAAATTTAAATGCGTTGTAAAAAACAAAAGTGATTACTTTAGGAGGAGCAGTGGTCGGTCTCATCGAATTAAAATGTGCAATAACAGTTGGTTTCATCGGTAATAAATTCAAAGTACTGGATGGAGCAACTGGTGGACTGATACTGGGTGGAAGCGGTTGTTGACAGTTGCCCACATGTAAAGCATCTGATGCAGTATCACCCCATATTGAGTTCAGGTCAGTTGTACGTATAGCACTCGATCGTGGAGGTGGCGGCGCCTTCCGAATTGGTACCAAAAGCTTCTCAATCTTCAACGCTTTTTTCAATTTTTCCCAAATTCTAAAATAATAGAATATCAAATTTTTAAAACGTTCAAGTCATGCAGCGGGCTTGAGTTACTTTCCAAAAGAGGCTTGCGACATCGGCTATCATCAAATCAATCAGTTCACTAGATAGTTGGACTCCACTTAGTTTTTAAGCGTTAGATACTACGCATTTAAAATTTTGAATATTCGAAAATAACATACTCTTTATGGAGCCAGAAGTTTCTTTTTCGTTTCACGACAATTGAAATGCCAATAAACGCAATAGTCAGTATCAGAAGAAGCCAAAATACCACAAAACCTACATGAACGACACCGCCTTCAACAGCAGGACCGCTATTTACTGACCCACCAGGACCGGGGATAGCACAAGACGGCCCACCGTAACCTGGTTCACAGTGACAATTACCCATATTATTACAGATTCCTGCATTATTACACGACACTGGTTCACATTTAGGTGCCATAAGTACTTTTGCGGTTCGATTTTGACATTTTGCGTCAACGCACATCTAAAAAATGAATTTCTTTAAATTTTCGAATGAAACTTTTGAAAAATTGTGAAGTCGAAAAGTTTAAATTTTCAAGAAGTTAGAAGTTAGCTAGTAAAAAAGTAAGGCTACCTCATCCAAACCACAGAACGCACCATCCGGAACCATCCCAGGGTCAATTTCTTTTCGACCGCTCGTATATTTTGTCCAAACCACTCTACATGCTACATTTTCACCACTTCTCAACCGTAAACCAGTATATGCTGTGTAAACTGTTGACGGATCACCAAATGCCAGTTTCTCATTTTCATGGATACAGTGTAATCGTCCACATTTAATATCACTGAAAAACATTTCTGGATGATTGTTTTATTTTCTCGATTTATGCATTACCAATCTCTTTTTACTCTCTGTCGAGTATTTTTCGATTCAGAACTGATCTCAATATCTTAATCTCACAAAAAGATGAAACAAGATGAAACTGAATAACGTGGTGAACATTAGTTTCATATGGATCTTTAATGAAAGATGCCTATCATCAAATTTCCATCTATCTTTTACAGATTCTCCCGTAATATCATGACGAACATGAGCTTTCCGAAAAAGATTCCTAAAACGAGAGGTAAGATATTTCAACTTGATCTAACCTCTGACTAGAGTGTTTGTTTAGTAAGATTATATGAATATTAAAACAAAAAGGAACACACTTTTTATCACATGGCACAAAACGACTAGTCTCATGTAGAAAGCCACAATTTCCACCACTGCTCCCATATACATTCAAATCGTAACATGCTGGTGCTGCGTTTCTCCCAGTTGGTCCCCAAATATGACGACATTGGGCATCACGGCTTCCGCAATAACCATTATAGCAGTAATCCTGCAAATAACTATCATTTTTAAACGATTAAGAAAAGACTCAAGAAAACCAATATATTTATTCTATTAACAACAAATAATAATAAAACCTAGATAATAAAAACATCGTGAACTTCCTGAAATTTGGACTATTTATATTTAAAGTTGCTTTATATTATATAGCCTAACTTGCCAGAAATTATAAACACAATACTTTGGTCATTACTGCTAATAACAGCTGTTTTATCTTGGAATATCATGGAGTTTATCTTGGAACAAATAAAAAGAGAAGAAGTTAAACTATTAACATCAACATGATTTGGACATTCATGACCATCCTGCACAAAGAAATCTGCTGGACAGTGTTCCATTTGTCCATCACAGTATTCTGGTAAATCACATTCGTTGGTCGCTTGACGACAAACGGTAGTGGCTGGAAACATCTGACAGGTATTCAAATCACAACATTCACCATTGGCGCAGGTAGCTGCTTCCGCTAGTTGGCACGTTACAGGATTACAACATTTGTTGATACAAGAATTCTGGAAAAAATATATATTGATATAAGTGAAACTATCGATATTATTAGTTATATGGATCATATATTTTAACTATTATATTATATTTTCTTTTCCCTTTCATTCCCCGAAATGACTTACAGCGATTATAATAGATCTTGTAGTATTCCATTACTAGCACCATCTCCAGCTATGCAGTGTAATTTAAAATTTTTTGAAAGAAGTTTAAGATTTCAAAGAAGTTCCCATTTTAAAATAAATATAATTGAATATGATTTCAGTTAAACAGTTGATTATTGAAACAAAATATGCTGTCACGGCGAACCTTTTTACGGATGCTCATATTTGGTATACACAATGTTTTTTAAAAGAGTTTAATTTTTCATCGAAACTTTAACATGAATCGCTCAGAAAAAAATTTTTTTCCCATGAGAATCAGTGAGGTTAAACCAACCGGTGTTCCACAGTCACATTCTTCACCAGTTTCTAAAATTCCATTGCCACAACGTGCACCACCAAATACACTCTTAGGAGAATTGCGTAAACAATAATCCACTCCACGCGAAAAACTGTGTTGTAAGGCACGCATACTGCATTCTGACCAGAATGTTGGACGCGTAATGCTTGAAATCACATTCATTAATTTAGTAAAAAAAATGAATTTTAATTCACAGTTGAAAACTTCCTTAATTGATTAATGATAAACCACTCATTTAACATAATTCTTTGTCTGGTACTGATGACTCTGACGATTACCACACTCCTTTTTGAAAATGCAAAAGTGATTATTTGAGCTGTCACAATGAGTGCAAAAACAGTTATTTCCCTCGAAGATACATTATATACAAAAATGAGAAATTTTTTTATAGCAACAATTTTGCATCAACTATCACTTCTACAAAGTCGCAAATAACCTAATTATCTCTCAAAATTCCGACATCTCAACTTGAATTCAACTAATTGCAGATGGAAATTAAAGGCAATCTTACCCAGTAGCTGGTGACATAATACATGATTTGGCTGGACAACGGCATTCTACTTCATCGATATCATGCTCCATTCCGAAATTATGTCCCATTTCATGAGCAATAGTTGCAGCAACTAATGCAGCCTGATCACTATGTTCCATGTCGACCCCACCCGAAAAATCATAAGAACACATCGTACCTTTGAAAGCTTTTCCGACAATATTGTTTTCGAATACAACTCCACTACAAAATAAGAAACAAAATTTTAGGATACGAACTTATCGTATAATTATTGCTGAAACATGAATTTAACTAGAAATGCTATGACTTAGAAAACTTCCCAGTAATCGACTAAATTCCGAAGTTGGACATGAATCGCAATATACTTATATTGTTAAATCCAAGCAAAGTTTACAAAAAGATGATGAAAACGAATGTCTAAGCAAAACGCCTGGAATCAAATGTCTGGAATTGTTCCATAAAGGCGTCGTAAATCCAGCGCTTTAAATATTTTCTATCAAATTACTATAAAATTTCATTACTAGAAAACGCGTTTGCGAAAGTAAGTGGAAAGCAAAATTCTCTAGCAGTACTAACGTAAGTAAATGCGCATTATCGTGTGGATGATCCTTCAACAATCCTTTTCGCCAGTTCAAAAAATTCCATAATGTCGTATCAGAATTTGACGTAATGTCTACTGGATTATCATTTGTCCATACATCAGCCCAAACAAGAACCACTCGAATGTTAATCGGTAGGTATAACTGAAGTATGAACATCGCATTTGCGTCATATTCAATGAAGAGAAGATCTTTCATAAACTTTTTCAAAAATCTTTAAATTTTGGCAACAAAATAGACAAATTTCAGTAAAAGAGATTTCTCCTTCCACTTTCTCAAAATTCAAGTTCAAGTCGAAAGGTATTTCATACAGCATGACAAAAAACACCAATCAAAAAAACCTTTACCGAATTGATATAATTGGTGATGGCGTTAAGTTTTTGCGTAACTTCGGTTACATTGTTATGATGTTTCTCGAACTGAAATTTTACAATTGATCTCCTTTCAATTTAAATTACAATTTCATTAGAAAATTATGCTAAAAAATATATACGAAGCAGTAAAGCACAGTACTCGCCAATATTTTTAATAGTAATAATTTAATAGTAATAAAATATTCCTGTAACATGTTAGTGATAAGAATCTTTCCGCAATTTAATTATGGAGTATCCAATTACGCAATATACTGAATCTCATAATACTATCTGTAGGTCAGAAATAACATTGGACACAACGAAGGACATTACCCTTCAAAAGAAGTTTGAAATCTTTTCATGTTTTTGCACTTCTAGCACCGACTGATCGAAAAAATTTATTTTAAACGAAAGGATACTGAAATGAAGGGCCACTATCTCGAATTACATCAAACGATAATACGACAACTCCTTCCAATTATTCAAATTCTGCCATACAGTCATCAAACATGATGTCCAATACTCAAAAAGTAGGACGATTCTTTTCGCTTTCGAGACGACAATGCCTTTCGATTTTGAACTAGTCAAATATGATGCTGTCTTACGACGTTGCTTGAAGATTCTGGGACACTTATTCAAGACTGACTTCTAACTCAGAGTTTAAAGGAAAAAATTTATCTTTTTCTTGTTTGGTAATGAAGAAGATTAAGGTTAATTCAACAGAAGTGTGACACTAAAAAGCAAAATCTCTTCTCAGGCACAACGATTTAGAATCTTACAAGCCAAGATGTAAACGCAACATAAACAACCTGTTAATCATTGAAAGTTACAAACCACTAATTTATCTGCAATAAGTGCTAACTCCACGTAACGCCAACGTTCATCCAAATACTGAGCATAATATTCAGCTGTATGAGATCCACCAATAGAACGCTTATTTCTCGATCCCCAATCTAAAAAACCTTTTTTCTTATTTCATTTAAAGATTGTATAAAAAGAAGTATAACACCATATTTCTTACCGCAAGAATGATCAGACAGTGAAACAAAATGGAATGATGCATTTGAATTCGCTTCTAGCACAAATCGTCGACCATTTATCGTGAATAGTCCCCTTAAAAATTTGGTTTACTTATGAGGGAAATTAGTTTCGTCCCCTCCAAAATTTCAGATGATTTTAGTAATCACAAAAAAATGTAAGTTTAATAAAGGCTAAACGCTGTCCTGATAATAACTGTGTACAACGCCCAACTATTGTACTTAACTTATTAAGGCATAGGTTACTGGTAATTTGCGGTCAATATGTAACAGTAACCTTCCTGAATGGTTTGCAGCTTCTGAGATGTCTCGTAATCAGGTAAAATGAAAATACAAAAGATAGTAAGTACACAGGAAGATATTAAAAAAATGCCTCCATAATAAAGACTTGCCCAAAGAGTGATATCGAACAAGTACTCATAGCACTGTGTTCACCGGTACTGCTTATACCCTCAAAATGACATGGTATTTCATCCTGAAAATAAGCATTTAGTATAAGACATAACTCATTCTGTCTTCACAGTAGAACCTTAACAGTTTAAAACTGAACCATAAAGAGATAATTCATGACGATAGGCTTAAAAAACAAGTTTGCCGTGTGAGAGATATTGCACCTGATGCTCAGGTGCAATATTTCAATTTTTTTTTAGTTCTCTTCAGAGTATTTTTTTTATTGATTTTTGTTGTATTTGCTAAGCATTTTATAAAATTTCATTCAAAAAATGCAGAAATTAAACCTTAGCAGAAGTTTTTAGTAAATCTCGGTTTGGTTGGAAAACAAAGTTTCGACTTTCCCCAACATCATTGTAGAGTTCGAGTTCGAATTTGGGTTGAATTTGACTAATAGATATAAGTTGATTAGCATTGAGTTCATGCTCATCGTAGTAAATATGCAACGGGCAGCGAATGTCATGATGCATCGCCCAATTTCTATTGTTTCACCAATCTGTAAAATTCTTAAGAATACAATTCGTAACAATATGTGTATATTCATACAAAAAATTTACGTTAATAGGATACAATGATATAAGCACTATTTTTACAATTTTTAATGAAAAACAATAAAATCGTGAAATCTGGTGAGTTAATACACATAGAAGCTGATCTAATATGTTTGAGAGATTTTTAAAAGTAATACATACACGTAAAATGAACTTTTTAAAATTACGATACTGTTGTATAAATTACGATATCAATATCAATTGGTGTTCGTTAGTAAGTAATCAATAATTACTAATGCATAACACATTTTAAACAAACGTAAACATCTTCCAAAAAGCAAGATATAAAGATGCTGGAATTCTACGAAATTATGATCCCAATGAGTTTCAAGAAAAATATTCTTGCAGAAAATCAAAGTTTGGATCAATCAATTTAGGTTAATCCATAAATGAATAATTATTACGAAGTACTTGAAGGTTACCGGGAAAATAATAAATTATTACTCAATTAGTTCAAAATTACCATATTCAGGAATATTATAGTTCATCATTCTTTGTCAATTTCTGGATGTTTTTTTCTTCCCGAGAGTAATTAATATTTAAAAACAATACTTTTTTTCTATTGCACTTTCCATATCTCATAAATTTTTCCAAAGATACTTTCTTTTTTTTCCTTTCTGATCTGCTTCCAATAATTTGAAAGATTACTCCGAAAACAGTAATTCTGAAACTGATCGACCTTCCAATTTCTCTATGTTCAAAATAGCATGATTGGGAAGTTTAATTAAGTTTAAGTTTAATTAACTTTAAGTTTTAGTTTAAGTTTAATCAAGTTTAAAAAAAAACTAATCGTTAAAATGATTGGGAAATTGAAGAAAGTTAAAAAGGTGAAATTTGAGTAATATATAGAATAAAATTTGCTGTGCAATGAGTGAATAGATAAACGATTGTTGGAATTTATTAAAATTAATTTTTGTTTAGAACGAAATGATGCAAAGATACTACAAGCTTAAACTTACGTGCAAAACAAAAAAGTCGAAAGATTATTTACAACAGTATTCGATCAATTTTGGGAAGTTTTAAATAAAACATATAAAAGAGCACAAAAATTTAGAAATGTTAAATTTACGAAAACAAATGATTGCCTAAGGGAATGGAAACATCGAATACTTGTCAACGAATTGTACAAGATAAGCTTCCTCACAAATAAAAACTTCCTGCTTTTGAAAACTTCTGCTTGCTTCTTCCTCTCTCTTTCTGACTACTTACTAAAGACTATTTCTATCTATCATTTTCTATCAATTCAGTGGACAATCATATGGAATTAATAATATCTTCTACAATATCATGATATTAGATTTCACACCTGTTCAGGAAATAACAGAGAAAAAATGAAATGACTAATAAAAGTATTTCAGAGAAGAATGAGCGAGCTCTGACTTATATTGAAATAATAAACAAATCAGCGCGTATAATCTATCTGGAACGAAAAGAGAAAAATGAATAGCGAAATTTTGTGCTATCATAATGGAACTCTTAGAAAACGCAACTGCATCAGAACTGCGACGGCCTCCCGATATTCATGGAGAGAGCACTTTGCAACCGGTATTTCTCTTCGTTTAAATTTGAATTGATATAGGTAGAGTATGTGTATGTGCGTGTGTGTGCGTGTTTGTATGTAAATGTTTCTGTGTGTGCGCAGTCCATTTATGTCATTGAGCAGGTGTAAACCATATTGATAGACATGCTTGTTGAATTGAAAATGATTCATCAAAGGTCAAAGAGCATCTAAAGACAAATAACACACGCCTGTTTGATTCAATTGAGATAAAATCAGCGTGAGAAATTACAATTTGTAATTTTAGAATTAAAAATTTCCATTGAATAAAAGCACAAATGTCCATAAAAATAAGAATGTAAAATATGATTCATTGTTGAACAAATATTATTAGAATGAGAAAGAAGAAATAGCATAGATATTGATGAGTTTATTAAGAAAATGAATGTTTAAATCATTTATCAATTAATGATAATGTTTATAAATAAATCAGCGATTAATTTAAATGTAATCAACTTCTTCTCATCATATCATATCATTCAATATCACAAAAAAAATTGTTTGGAATGAATTCCATTTTTAGAATAAAAAGAGAAACAAATGCAAAAAGAGATGATAAATGAATTAAATTTAAAATATATGATTTCGTTAGTTAATGCGGGAAATTCTGCATGTCTTTTAAATTAAACAAGAAATAAAGTTAATTACTTATCAGTTTAAAGTCAATGGCCGATCAGTTTAATGGATGCATTTTTATCAAGTTATGCAGGACGAAAAGATACCGGAAATAATATAGATTCTTAAATTCAGCAAATATTCAACATTGATAATAAGTATTTTAAATGACATTAAAAAAGGATTCAAATAGATCTTCCTAATTAGCGCTTCATATATTCTGTTAAAACAAAAGAAAAAAACATACAGTGCACATTAAAAACAAAACTACCAAATATTAATTAATATAAAAAGAAAGTGGATATTAAAATTGGATTATTATAAAGAGAAAAAATCGCTCAAATTTAATTCAATTTTCAATTAAGAAATTAAAAGGTATGATAAAAATTTTGATTTGAAAAAAATTTCACTATCTTATCTGTTATGAGTATAATTGATAGCTAACTGCTTTACAATTTTGCTAAATTCAAATTCTAAACAATTAAAATGAAAATTAAATAAAGGTCCAGTTTGTTTTTTATTGAAAAGGATCCAGTAAACGAAGTGGTCAGTTTTACTTTCTTTTTAAAAAGGATCCAATAAAAGAAGTGGTCAGTTTTAGTTTCTTTTTAAAAAGAATCCAATAAACGAAGTGGTCAGTTTACTATGTTTTTGAAAAGAATCCAATAAACGAAGTGGTCAGTTTTAGTTTTTCTTTAAAAAGAATCCAACAAACGAAGTGGTCAGTTTACTCTCTATCTGATAAGCATTGTAATAATAATTTTAAAAACATAAATATATATATATTTAAAGTAGGCCAAAAAATTTATTAACTCTCATTATTTACAAAAATTTTCTTAAAAAAATTTTGAACGAATATTATTATTGATTATTTGTTATATTAGCATGAAAAGCTGTGATACTTTTTTAATACGATTAGCTTCAAAAAATACTAAAATTATGCTAAACGTTTTGATTCACAAATTGAATTAAATATTTCCTCATTCATCTATCATAAGTTATAAATTCTTTTTTTTTTACTGATACTGTAATATTTGTTAACAAAATCATTAATTCATTAATTCTATAATCGATTAATCAACAATCTATTATCGATTAAGTACGATATCTTGAAACTAAAAAATCATTTTTTGAAAACATTAAAAGAAACCCACGTGAAAAATTCTGGTAAAGGAACGAATAATCGCGATTAGCCATCGAACATAATCAATAGTCATTAAGATTGATATCCTCCATATCGTCATTGAGATCATTCAGTTGGAAGTCTACACGATAACGCAAAAGACCTGTAAATAAAATGTAAAGAAAATACAGCACAAAATTTTCAAAACATTCGTATCATCAATCAATATAATATAAACAAATATACCATCAAAGCATCAAAGCAATACCATTAAAGCTTCGCATAAATTGTGCTCATTCATGCGATCGGTCTGTAACAACTTCAAAAGTTGCACGCGAACAATTGCAAATACGATTTGCAATTGTTCGCTAACCATTCTAATAATGGCATGGAATCCATAAGTTCTAATTCCACGCCAGTCTAAATATATTAATTTTATCTGCCAGACTGTATTACTCCATGCTTCGTCTTTCCAGATTTGGTTGGTACTTTGTGAAGT